AATTACAGATTTAGAATGATGCAGGCGAAACTCAGCTCTTGTTGTCATACGATTTTATTCATTTTAATAATTATTCGAAAATATTTTTGCTTGAAAGTTTCGTGCAAGTTAAAATTAATGGTTAGTGATTTTTTTTCCGCAGGGAGGATCCGCGCCTGGTAAATGTAACATTTTACACGCAAGTAAGATAACGCATTTCATTTCTGTACTGTCGCACAGCATTAATAAGGCGGTTTTGAATAGCGTTTCCATTAAAGCATCCCACAATTTCATGTCATCACATCCATGCCTTTTAACAGCCTTCAAGATCACATCACCACAAATGAAAATAAAAGGTTTTACACGCGTAGGATCAGAGAATCCTCCCACACGAAGTTTTCCAGAAGAAAACTAGACGTACTACAGAATGGCACAATCCCTCTTGTACGTTACTTTTCTAATCTCTTAAGTCTAGTTTTCCAGTTTGGTCGTAGCCCGTTCCCAGTTGCTATCGGCGCCTAAAATACATTATTTCGCATTTTCGACCCCCCTAATAGCAGAATTGAAATAAAACTTGCAGAATGTATTAGAAGGGTAAAACATGGATCTATGTAATCATTTTCAGTGAAAAATGTTGAGCAGTTTTCGAGAAACTATCATTTGAGCTTTTCTGAAAATGCGCAATTTTGTGCTCATTTTAACTAAAAACTTTTCAGTTTTAGAGAAACTTCATGAGAAATCATTTGAAGCACTTGTACAGCGTGAATGTTAATGAAATGAGAGATATTTTAAACTAGCGGAGCTACAACAACACATACTTTCACGTATTATTTTTAACTTTTGCAATTTTCAAAAATCCAGAGAGTTCAACAAAAATTATACTTGTGCCATTCTTTTAACCGCCCCTTGTTCTATTGGTGGAAACAATTTAAAGAAAAAATTTCGAGGGGTTTTGGAGAAAATATTTTTTTTATAATTTGCATTAACAGAAATTTCACGAAAACTACTAGATTTTTAAATGTAACCTTTTTTAAAGATGTAATTTTTTAGAACAGATTTCGCTTAAGTCAAACATTTCTATCTTCAAATATAGTTTTTCGATGTTAGTTTTTTGTAATGTTCGAAAATACAAAGAGCTCTCCGGAAATTAAACTAGCGCCACCTTTTTTTACAGACTTTTGATACATACGAGAAGGAAATTTAGAGAAAACTTTGGAGCCGTTTCTAAGAAAATATTAGTTTAAAAATTGCCTAAATTTCACACAAAATTACGCGAAAATTTCGTCATTTTTTCAAAACATTGTACATTACGAAATATCAAGATGTCTTTCCACAACACATTTCATTCCACAACAATTTCTATCTTAAATATTGTAATTGTAGGAATTTGCCGAAAATATTTTAAACTTATGCAATTTTCGAAAAATCAGGGTTTTGAGCGAAAATGAGATGTGCCATGATGGCTTGTACATAACATGTGATCACATATTTCTCGCCCAAGCATTCTTCCTTCACTCACAACTTGCCCAAGTCTATTGTTAGGTGCAGTCTGCTTCATCGACTAATTTCTACTTTCATTATAATTAATTCCTTTAATATACAACAAAAGTATAATAAATACAAACTTTTACTATGCTATAATTTATTTTCACTTCTTTCATTTACAAAGGGTGAGTTGCAAGCGTGGGGTAATTATTAAGTGGGGTCCAAGAGCATGTTATGGACGCGTTACAAGGAGGAGAGAGGGTATTGAAAATACTACAAATTTGCGCTACGTAATTTATGGACGGCCCCTAACCAAAAACTTATCCAATCTCGTATGCTGACTTTGTACCAATGTGTTGCGTCTAGAAGCTGTACATTACGTAACTCAAATTTGGTGTATTTTGAATACCCCCTACCCCTACAGTAAAGCACCCGCAACGCGCGCTGGAACCCCCCTAAATAATTAACGCTCGAGATTTTGAAGAAATAAAAGTAAATTACATCAGAAAAATCGGATTTTGAAGAAATAAAAATAAATTACATCAGAAGAAACAATTTGTATTAATTTTATTTGTGATGTATTTTTAATTAGTCATAATGATTTGGCGATGATGATTACATGTAACAATAATATTGGGAACATGTGCTATGTGAAGGAAGGACGCATAGACGTTAACATTTCTTAAAAGCCGTGCACACGTCGTGGATGACGCATGAGGGACAATCTTCAGCACCAATTTAATTGGATTCTAGAATATATGATCAATTTTCATTTTTTTTTCGTAATCTTACAAATTCTATGAAAAACTATGGAAAAAATATTACCATTTATGGTAACAAATTACACAATGACTTTAAATTATGTTTTTTAACAAGAAATTAATACGTTAATGTTTTGTTATAAAACAGAAATAAAGTAATTTTTTACCAGATGTCGAAAAATTAAAAATAAATCAATGTTACATTACACTGAACTTACACCCCCACTTCCCCCAGTAACGCAGCGTGATGTTGCTTCAAACCCCCTCTCCACCTCTTTAGCATTACATAATTTATGGACGACCCCCTCGGTAAAACAAACCAAATGATTATATTCAAGTTATCCAAAAGACATGCCCCATCCCACCCTTTCAGTGAATACAAGAAAAAAGTACTTGTAATGATTGTGAAATAAGTTGAAACTGAAAAGAAAAAAAATCAATATTGGATAATTTATTTTATGAACACATCTCATGTTGATGAAGATAACTACTCTTACAGTCTGTGGAAATCTTCCAAAATTTCATGTGAATCATCCCAGCAAATTTATATTTTAATACCCTTGGAAAACACATAATTCAAATTGGATGAATAAATAATATTGAAGAAGGAAATTTGGTAACAAAACTTACCAAATTGGATTACACCTCACGTTGATAGCTGACCTTGAAAATGTAAAAAGTCTAAAAAGAGGCATTTTCTACTTGGGTTGCAAAAATCAAAAACAATTGGTTAATCTGTCTAGGATGAGTCAATCATCATTTCTTTCTTTCTATTTTTGTAGAACATAAAGAGCTTAAAAATGTTTGCCTCAGTAGTGACATTCCAGTGAAAGTTATATTGAACATGATTGATCCATTCCAAAAATTAGCCCTTGCAAACAGACAAAAATTGTTAAATAAAATGCTGTGGGCTTATACATCATGATAGCTTACAAAAAGTTAGTTATCTTAAACTCATAGACATATGCTTCAATTTTATTAAGATATATTCAAGTGAGAAATTGTTTGTTTCTCTAATAATATGTGAGGTAATTGTTTTGTTTAGAAACAACTGTAGTGACACAAATCACAGAAAAACCCATATGCAATGTCAATGGAAATCTACAAAAAAAAAGATTTTATGACACATTTTGTAAAATAGTTTTTAGGAAAACCTTTCTATGAGGTGAAGTATAGAGGTGGTAAAGTATAATAATTAATTCCTTTTCTTTCCAATATATGATTGTCATAAATAACCAGGCAATTCGAGGTACTTCCGCTAGTTTAAAAAATAGAAAGTAACACTTACCACAAAGAAACAGAACGATCACATTAAATAGAGAGGAAACAACCCAACTACTAACACAGGCCCTGAAATACAAACAAATACGGATAGAAGAAAGAGGTCATCGAAGGAAAAGTTGAGAAGACCAGAAACACTTTGGTACCAACTATGCAGTGGCAGATCTGAAAGGGACCGCATTGCCCCCAAAAGCCACCTTATTTTTTTTTTTTTTAAATTCTTAATCAAATAATTCAAAGTCATTGCCACTTAGATCTGATCACACCCAAAGCATAATCTCATTATAAATATACGCATACATTTTTAAAATTTAAAGCTAATAATTAACAAAAATATTACTTCGAAAATAATTTATAGAGAGTCAGATATTTAAGGACACCAAATTTTGAACAACCTGTTTTGAACCCCAAATGCCACTTTTTTTTCTATATTCGACATCCTACATTTATTTTCTCTTGTTTTAAGTTTTAAATCTGTTTTATTTTCAATTGAGTAATTATTTGATTCTCAATCATTCCAATATGCTTCAGAATGATTTGAACTATTAGTTTTGTTTTTAACTTTTATTATTCATTATAGCCAACATTATGTTTTGATATTTAGTAAATATTCAATCCCTTTTTTTGTTGGCTTAATTACAATTTGAAATAGTAATCACATATATAAACAGTGAGAAATGTTGTTCACATTATTTATTCTTATTCATTTTTACATGTATATGTATGTGAGTATCCTCATACAAAGTTAATAACACCATGTTTTGAATTACTGTAATTTGGATTTCATTTCTTTTTGTAAAACATTACATCTGCATTTTTATGAATCATTGTTATTGCATATTATTTGAATTGATAATTCATTTCAGTACTTGCAACCACAGTTAAAATTTTCATACAGGATTATTATGCTCTTTGTAATACCATAAGTCAGAAATAAATAACAAATGTAGTGTAGTTAACATAAATTAAATAATACTAATCACAAATAATTAGTATGTACATACACTTATTTTGTCAATTAATTATGCGAGGTGATTATCAATCATTTAATCAAAAAATTAACTATTTCTCTTTGATACACTACTGGCTTTGCACAATGCATAAAATTGGCATCATGGAAACAAACAATGACCACTATGATTCCATTCGTTCTTTGCTATTTTCTTTATTATTTTCTCAAATTTTGGATTCTATGACCCATGAAATTGTGAAGCATTGCAAATTGGCAGAGTAGTCAGTGCTCTTTGGACCTAGTGCTATTGATCTTTCATCTCAATACAATAATCAGTCATTTTGTCATATGACATTCATAATCATCGTTAATATTTCTATTTCCTTTGTGTTTTATTGTTCATTTTCCACTGAATACATACATTTCCAGCCTAAGACACCTGTTGAAAATCTTTTTGATTTATCCCTATCAATTTATCATGTCTGTGATTGCCATCTTTGTTGTTAATAACCCTTTGTTTGTCTCCTTTTATTATTAATTACTTATTTGATGGACAGTCTGCATTGCAAATAGCATGGCTAGTAGGGCTATATACTCTTTCCTGGTTCATCCCTGTTTTAATCCATTGATCCTCAGGGTTCCTTTTATCTATTTTCTTCTTTCTCAATAGCTGAAAATAAAGAATGGACAATATGATTATGATAAAAGTTCCTAGAGGAAAGTACACTATCATTCTCTGAGAGAGATCCTCATAACAAGTAAGAAAATATTAATTGACATTAATTTGTGTCTGATGTTCACCATATATTTTTACAATAATTTCTTTTTGACCTTCAATATTTTGACAGACATTAAATATAAATTTTTAATATTCACACTATATACACAACGCTTTAAATTGTTTTAAAAACACTTTATTTCTTCTAGGTTTCAATTTTGATAAACAGGTTCTGAATACAATCATATTTATATAATTAATGCAATTTTTCCAGCACTGATTTTGTCCATCTTCAGGCAAATCAATAATCAAACTTCATTTCAATACAATCAATTTTAATTTTTTAACCTTTAATTTTTAAATCTTTCACCATGATACTCAATACAAACCTTTTTAAAATCTCACCAAATTCATAACGTTTAAAAATAAATATAGTCTTTCATTGCCATTCTCTTGAGAAAAAATGAAACTTTGTTTGTATTGTAACAAAGTTTGATTATTGGTTAGGCCTGAAAATAGGCAGAGTCAGTCCCCAAACCATTGCATCATTTATGTAAATGTGATTGTATTCAGAACCCGTTTATCAAAACTGAAACCTAGAAGAAATACAGTGCTTTTAAATCAATTTAACGCATCATGTATATAGTGTGAATATTAAGTTTAAATTTGTCTGTCAAAATATTGAAGCTCAAAAAGAAATACGGCAAGTGTAATAAATTATTGCAAAATGATCTTGAATATTTGCAAATTTAGCAAATATAACATTATCTTTACATTTTTTCATTACGCTAAAGCAAAACGTCCGTACAAAAATTAATTCGTATTCCTGTGCTTTCTGTGTGTCCCAATAATTTAAAAAACTCAAACGAAGCTAGAATAGGCGCGTGCGGGATCATCGGCCAGGCCATCACAGCCCGTCTGATCGTTAACATGACTGTTCAAAAGCAACATCATACACAATTCAGACTATGACAGTGGAATATCATGCAGATAGTGAGAAGCTCGATCCCTTTTAAACTTTTGCCTTGCTGTAAATAACAGTAGGTTACCTATAAACACTCTTATTTTCAAATTTCGGAGTAATTCTTCAAGTCGACATGTATTTTTAAATATTTTCTTTTCCCGTCTAAATCCAATAAATTTCTCATTCTCACTATTGTTATGTTCTTATTGTTACTATTTTTGTTCCTTAATTTACTAGATAAATGCATGTCTCATCAAAGAGTGTGTTTCGCTCGCGTAGGGTTAAGCTGTCAAAATAGAAAAAAGGCGACTATTAATCCCTTGGTAATTTTTTCGACGTCTATCACATTTCGTACTTTCTTCTAGAAGAGTGAGAACTAGAAGTTGGCATTCTAAATTAGAAATTTCTTAATTTAAAAGTGTATCTAAAATAATAATTATTTCGGTTTAGCAGCTAAGAAGGGTCCAAACTCACCAAGGGATCCCAGCAGTGACAGTGGTGCCATCATTTTAACATAAAAGGGCGTCCACGCGCGAACGCGGGATGATGTGAAGGGTGCACGACCTGAGCTGGGCGGGTAAACTCTTCAGCAGGGTGCTTCAGGGTTGGCCTACAGAGTGGTTGATCTACTGCGGTAAGGATTCCTCGGCATTGGAATACCAAACATTTTCTACGTGTTTTGTGTGGCATCTAGTGTTATGGAAGGAAATGGAAAAGAAGAATGTTGCATCTGGAATGGAATTGAAGACATCGGTGAAAAGCAAGTTGACGTAAAATTCGTGACTGGTTCCGTAGAGTCGAATGACACTTCACGTCCGACGTCCGACATTTTCGAAGACAGTTCGTTCCGTCTGTATGAGATGCCCGTAAGCGTAGAAACTGCTGCAAAAAGAATGAGCTTTAGTGAAATTGATCGTGTGGAAGAATTGACGAATCAGATGCGGAACCATTATGTGGAAAGTAATGTGAAAGACACTGCCGAGATTGTGATGAAAGATGTGGCGGGCAGAGAGAAACTTGATCAGGCTTGCCCAAGTCCCACTACTAGTAACGGTAACGTTACTCGAACCATTGAGTCCAATCATATTGAAATAATTTCTGTTCGAAATGAAGATAACATAACCTTGAAGAAAGACTGCGGGAACGGTGAACCTGTTTATGATTCAGTAAATCCCAAAATTGAATGTACGTCTCCCTTACTGAAAACTAATAATCATTTTATCATTACTGGTTCATCCAACCACACGAAGAAGATTCAGGATAACATCATCGAGATTGCTGCGCAAGAAATAAACGACAACTTAAATTTTCAATTAAGTGTCGTTCCGGGCGAATTTGAGGAAACTTGTAAATTCTGCACGAAACGTACTACCGAAATAAATTCTGAACCTGGTAGTGTTTCTACCAAAGATTTGAATTTTGAGGTGAAGCAGAATGCTGGTACTCAAGAACCCTCATGTAGTATTTGTATTTTAAAGTCAAACAACAAAAGAAAAAATTGCCATGGCTCAAAAAGAGAAACAGATTTTTTACGACCAGCATCCAGAATTTCAGATAAATCTAATAATTCAAATATATCTGGTAATTCTGATACCAAAAAAAAGAGTAAAAAAGAATTTACTTTAGAGACAGACCCAGGTATACTTTCTCGGAGGCAAAAGCAAATTGAATATGGGAAGAATACCACAGGATATCAAAGGTATAAGAAAATGGTTCCCAGGGATCAGAGAACAAAACAAGATCCACAAACACCTCCCAAATGTTCCAAATATAGTCGAAGAGCATGGGATGGGCTTATCAAATCATGGAGACGAAAGCTACACGATTGGGATCCTCACAAAACTGGAGAATCAGATGATGAAATTCTTTCAGTTGTTTCAACATCATCATTTCCTACAATCTCGGATGATTCTGAAAATTTGTATGAGACTGTAAGTGATTTAGCGGAAGAAGAACAGACCTTTGCTGTTGAAAGAGGGAGTAATGGTATGATTATGAATAAATATTTAAGAATGCCGTTTAGAGGTTGATGGAATATTTCATGATAATACCTCTGATATTTACAATACAAAATATTTTGTTTCATGTAAAGAATTGGGTGTTCCAAAGCTTTATAAAGGGAGAGCAATCTTTCTACAAAGTGAAGAAACTTGATAGTAACACAGAACAAATCACAGTTATTATACAAATATCAATTCTCTCTCGAGCATACTAATAATTAAGGATAAGATAGAGCAGATAGGAAGCTTCTGCCCCCAAGTCCTTACCTAGAGCCACACAGTTTTACAGTTTAAGCTTCGAACGGGTAACATTGGATAAGATAATTTTATTTTGATGAGGGCACAATTACACAAATCACAATTACTTAAAAAATATTTTTTTCGATAAAAGTTTATTATTTGTATGAGAAAATGAGAGTGGAATTGAATTACATCACACGAGCAAAAATTCATAGTGAACCTCCTAATGTTTTTGGTCAAATTGCAACATTTTCAGACTTCCTTTTAGATTGATTTACATGTAAATATTAATAAGGCTCATCTTCTCAACAATCAAGTTTTTCAACCGTAAGACATCTGACATTACTGGAAACATTTCAAAATATCTTCAAACGATATCACAAAAAATCAGTGTCAAGCTCTCCAGAATTAATAATGCATACCTAGTCAATTGAACATTTGTGGAAGATTCGTGTAAAATCAAAACCTACCTTCTGGTTGTATGTGTCTTGTCAGAACTTAATTAACACACACATGATAATAAAATAGACAAGTAATCTGACATGTATCAGTACAATTATGACAAGCTGATTTATAATGTACTTTAAGAGTAGTTTTGAGACACCCTATTCTTTACATCAACTAATGTTTTCACCTTGATGTTGGAAATACTTAGACCTATCTCTAGAGAGATTACTCTAAGAAGGGACCACTTTGACAGCTACTTCTTAGCCACTGCTGGCAATATATCTGCAGGTTACATTCACACACTCATTTTATCTGTGTGTTAGTAGCTCATTTGTCTTCATCACTATCTCTTGCAATGTCATCATCCTGCATTACTCTAGTTTGCTTCCTGACTCGTCAAAGTAGTCCCTTCTGAGAGTGTTAGCATAAGGATATATTGACTTTCTGTGCAGCATTTTGTAATTCATTCAGCATACAAACAATTATTTATGTGTTCACAAATTTTTAACTTCTATTCACAAAAACTTAGCTCAATTCTCTGTTAATCCTTCAACTGTGTTTCTTGATTACTTACACAGACTCTGTTTGGGGTCAGATTTGCTCCCTACGTTTTACCCAATAGTTTACTTGTATTTCGTGCTCAAATGCTATTTGGAATTAATAAGAAGATGGTGCTATTAATTTGCTTTATTTTCAATATTGAACTATAAAAACAAAGAATAATATTCCCAGAAAAACATTTTAGCATATCCTCTTTAACTATTCATAGGTGTCTACCATACCAGCATGATAATTTTTGAATCAGCACTACTAACTCATTTTAAACAAATATGCCTGATTGTCATTCAGAAACAACATAATATTATAAAGCGGAAATGGATAGGTTTTTAGTTATTCTTATAATTTGGACATGTAACGTTGAATCCATTTAGGAGCATTTCTGACCCGAACCGCATAAAACACAAATTACTTAAAACCAAGAAAACTGAAAAATTTACAGCCCATGTAAAACTGGACATAAATAGTTTATCTGATGGGGGAAGATCATGTGAATATATTTCAGAACGTTGCATAACATATTCGCCTGGGATTAGAAATACCCCCAAACAGTCTAAGAGTTAATGGGAGCTCTTAACTTGCTAAATGCATCATACCTCTTCAGGAACAATTTAAATTAATTACTTTAAATTAAAGGTACTAGATAATGCGATAAATTTTCTATAAGGCAATAGTAAACTTGTGAAAAATTCAGCTTTACAATTACAATACAATAAGATACCTAGGAAATTGGCCCTTCCTAGAGAGTGATGTTTTCTGCTGGAAAAGTATTAATTTCTTCTTGTCAGAGATGCAGTTAATCCAGATGCAGTTGGAGCTTTATGTGCAATTTCCACTTCCACAAATGTTCAAATGAAGAAAATTGTACATAAGTGTATTCGTTAGATTTATTCAGACTGTTGAGAAAAAGAAGAAAAGATGGTCTTCACTTGTTAAAAGTTCGTTTCACCCACTCTTGGCACTCTGAATGTCTCCCTCTGTAGATTTTGAGCAAATCTATATTCCTCTCATTTTAAGCAAATCGGTGCACAGCTTGTTTCAAGTGGGCAAGAAGGAAAGCTGGTAGCAGACATTCATGTCAATCCAAAGTATTCAAAAATAGACCTATGACATTATTGACAAAAATATGGGATAAAAAAAATTAGGAATTGCCCAATACAATGTTTTTAAATATATTATTTGTGGGCTGCATTAGTGGCACACCTCAAAAAATCAGGTTTTGGGATTAATGAGTTTGAAGTTTTCTCTTTATATTGAAGTGCATCATTCTTGCATTCACACCTCTGCCATTTGTTGGTGGGATACTCAACTGTAAGATATGCTGCTGGAAGGTAGTTCAATCTGCAATTCTGGAGAGTGTATTAACTCAAATTTCGTATTTTGAGTTGTGTCACTGTTGCAGCCCATGAACAATATATGTATTGTATTTTGTTCTCAAGTAATTTTTCAAAATTTGCAACCCATTCCATAATGAGATTCCCTGGTCTTAGGTAATGGACATTAGAAAAAATATAGTACTAAACTAATTAAACAGTTTGTATACTAATTTTGATGGCATCAGTTGGAAAGTAGAGATTTGTTCACTTACAATTTTTATAATGATTTTATTTTAAAATTAAAAGAAATTTAACAAAAGAGAAAATTTATTTTCTTAAATTACTAATTTAATTGAATTCTGAAATATGTGTATATGGTTATTGCATTTGTATAAAAATAATCTTTATGGTTTTAGTGGCACAATTAATATAACATTTTTTTTTATTGCAGGTATATCAATTAATAAGGATGCTGATTCACTTCAAACCAAAGAAACATAAATGGCACTAATTTTAAAAATAGTATTAAGATTATTCTGTGCATGATATGGGACATCATGTTTAGAGGAATAGATGATCCTTATGATCATTGGTGATAATTATTATCATCATCATTAATCTTTGATGTTTGTGATACTTTCATTTGGGGCGGGGGGGGGGGGATTAAGTTAAGAAAATAGAATGGTTGGAAAGTTCAAAAGAAACTTTTCTTATAAAATATACTTAACTTTGTATGTCGCATTAGTTCATTAAGTTTTGCATCAAGATTTTTTTTTTAATATACCGTTACGGTTTGTGCGTTTCGAACTCTTTTCATTTAATATAAATTGTATAAATTAGTTTTGAAAGTAGACCTTCATGTAAGGAGAGAGAGTAAAGTAAGACATGCAAAAATAGTAATACCTTTATATTTCCTGAAATAAGTGTAGTTTCGAATGTTGTAGAAACTAAACGTTAAAAAAAAAAGCAATTTTCAGAATAACTTGTGTGATCCAATCAGTTAAAATATTATTTTACTGAAATTTAGAAAACTACACTGGAAAAAGGAAGTATAGTATTTTAGGACTGCTTTTCTTACAGTGGAAAATTCTGCATTATTCACAAAACTGCAACAGACATGTGGATATGTGAAAACCTTCAACATGCATACTGCTATCATAACTGCTATCAATCTGTAAAATAATCAGCATTGTTAAGTAAAGAAAGTCTTTATTTGATTGGAGCACTCACTTGCCAGAGCATCCTAATAGATTAATTTTGTGTACTGCAGGTCAGAAGTTTTATTGAAACGTTTTAATTGTGAAACTTTAAAACGTTAATTAAACCAAATAAAAGGAAAGAAATTGCTGCTGTTATTTGATTTTCACAAATGTATATTTTTTAAATTGTATGGTGAACATTTTTAATGTATGGAATTCATTTTGAAAATATATGCAGTTCTTAATTAACTTTCACAGTTTTACTCATTCACTAGTCCTATAAACCATATCTGACTTTTCAAGTTTTTCAGCTTGATCTTTCAGAAAGTGTTTTGACTCATCCTTGGCTTTGTACCCGAATAAAAATTCTTCAAGGAACTTTTGCAAATGTGCATAATTACAGTTGAGGCAACTATTTGCTTTTAGTTGCTATAAATTTATGTATAGATCTATCTTTGGATAGAAGTCACCACAAATTAATTTTTTTTACACCAGCATTATAAAAGACGTCGACAAGAAATTGTTCACAAATGGTAATTTTATGGCACAGCTCGACTTTCCAATCTGTTAATGCTGCCAGTCTTTCCCAGCTGTACTCCCCAGCCATCGTCTTGCCTAATTTCAACATATAACATCATCACCCATCCTAACATCCACCTGTCCTCTTCGTAATACGCAATATGTTGCCAACTGCAAAACTACTTTTGAAACTTGCTCCCAAAATTAATTTTGATTCTTTTATAATTTTATAAAGCTTGCACATTTGAAAACATGCATAATGCATAAATAATATTTTGATGTAAGCCTACCAGTTTTTACTAAGTCTACTTCCCAGCATATTAGGTTCCTCTTCCATGTTGATGGGTTCATTGCCAACTATCCTGAAGCTGAATGATAGATGTATTTTCAAATACAAATACACAAAAGATTGCTCTGCAAGTCAATCTGGGAACCAGTCACACAAAAAGCCAGGAATGAGTGAATATTAGGGTTTCAGAGGAGCTCTTTTAGTACTGTACAAGATTGCCATTCATTTGGATAACAAGAAACCAATTGCCTCATAAAGCTTATTAATTAATTCAATTGGTATTGGACCATTGAATACTTTATCTGGTTAGCATATGTCACAAAGATTTTTATAGGGTGTGCATTACTTCGATGCTGAAAGTAGATTGTTTGGTTCTTGGATCGTCCAAATCCGTTGTTTTGTTTTAAGTGTATGAATTACAAAATAAGTTCCATGTTTAGTGGCATCTATTTCAGTGTATAAGAAGTATTTTGAAACAAACATAGAAAACAATAGATCAGATTTTTAAAAGCAATCCATTCAATGTAATGGTTTTCAAAAGCGGTTGTATCACTGTGAGAGACAACACCTTTCTTATACTGTGGTTTGTATACATTAAATTCATTTTATAAAATTATTATAAACACCAAAATCCTGAAATATGTTCCTGCAATTTAAGTCTATTTTCAATGGTTCCTTTAGTTACACTCTTAATTTGCAATGGAAATGTACCCCATTTTTTGTTTCAAAATTTAAATGACTTGCCATTTACACTAATTCCCCTCACTGCACAAACGTTGAAGATAGCTGAGGATGACTGGTAATGAACTTGTATGTTTGTTCCTTCCAAATGTTTATGATTAAGGAAGCCAAAATTAGGTGAGAGCGTAGGCTTCCGCAGCTGGAGTCGGTATTTAATTGGCTGTCCGGGTGATGCTGCGTCCCTAGCAAAGGTGCCGACATTTCGGTTGTCATTCTGCGACCTTCCTCAGGGCGTAATGACCCTAGCAAGTATGGACAGCCAATTAAATACAAGCCAGAATTACTCAGTTTAATCCAAGGCATCACTTTAAATTAAGTTTTCGAAGTAGAGGGAAATTATTGTGTTGTAAGTTGCACATACACTCAATGATGCCTTATTTTACTCGTCAAGGATTAGGCCATTAGGCATGCTCTTCTGTCTGGCTTCGCTATGTTCCTTTACTATCGAGCAAAAACAGAGGTAGGACTTGGACGAGGAAACTGCCAATTTTGAATTTAGCTCATAGGCTTCAGGACAACACAGGACTGCCTGCTTTACTCCCCCAGAGAAGGATTTTTTTCCCCCCCAAACATTCACAGCTCAATCAGGGTTTAACCCATGAACAGTCTGATACTCTAACAGTTACGACTTGGAAGTCGTTTAACATTTTAGAAATTAATTTAAATGTTACATTTTAGAAATATTCTGTGTATTGCTGTTACCAGTAATGAGCACCTTACTTCCAATTTTGCTACTATCTTTCTTGGTTACAATCCAGTGTTCGCAATTCTGCAACGCCGGGTGAGAACTGGTGATGTTTTATGTTTCTTTATTGAACAATTTTCTGAATTTTTTAAATTTCTGTATTGAGTTATTATCTTGTGGAAACAACTACAGGTAGTGGGCGCCATTACTTGTATGCTGTTTCCCCTACTTTCTTGTATACTGTGTAGTTACTCCTATTTTCACTTTCTTCATAGATATGGTAGTGTTCTTTTTAGTGTAGAACTGTAAAGAAAGTTCTAGTTTGTTTGTCAGTTTGCTTCGATCACACAAATGTTGCTGCCGTACGCACCTGCCTCCTGTCCCTTATACCTAAATCCACCCCTGTATGCATGTGATCAGTACATGGTGATTCTAACGCAGCATTACATAACTTTGTCTCTACTGAATAAGCATTTTTATTTTCTTTAAACAATTTTTTATCTAAAATGTCACAAAATCTTTTGATTAAATTGAGACCTTAGATAGTGTAAAGGATGCTTAAGAGAATGGTAAAGGTCTCATGTTCGTTAAAATGCCCAATTTTTTGAAAATTTAAAAAATTAAAAATGTTTCAGTGTCTTCTAAAAACTATAATTGTAAAGAAACAATATTTTTCTTAATGAAATTTGTTCCTTAAAAAACAAATCTTTAAATAAGGTCATGTTGAATTTTTTGAAAATATGAGTATTTTTTACTCAATTTTGTGACAAACATACTCGCCTGCTGCAAATTTATGGTCCTTCGTGAATGTAATTCCAAGCAGTTTGTGTTGTATTATGAAGTTCAATGAATGTGCAGTGTGTGCGAGCAGAGAAAGGTGGTATGAGCTGCGTAGTCAACATTGTGAATAAACTAAGTTCTTTATATAAATTGTAGTTGTTTTACTGATGTAGAGACTAACAAAACAGTTGGATGTTTCGTAAGTTAGAATTTGTATTTTATTTCATATTTCTTTGTTTGTGTCTTACATTTGAGCTTTCATAATACATTTACAAATTATTGTTTTAGAAATTATTTAAAACCTATTCTCAATATGTGAAATAAAAATAGTTAGCCTTCAGGAATGTCAGATTGGAATGCAACAGTGGCTGTTGTTGGAATGTGATTACCTGCATGAAAAGCAGTTGTAATTGTGAAATTTGTGTTGATATTTGTTTGAAAGTATTTAGTTTTGTACCCATGTTCTATGATGTGTAATGAGTTTTACAAAAAATAATGAGAGAGAAGCTAATTCTGAGAGACATTGTTATAAATACATAATTATTTTTAAAGGCGAGAAAGTACATGCTGTTTTAACACCACTAGTTGTAATAGGCATCAGCAGATGGTGCTTTAGTACTGAAGAAGAATTACCAAGACATTTTTTCTCATTTTCCCAAAGAAAGTGTTTTTTGGCAATCAGATCACTTAGTTTGTCACTGCACAATTCATTACAATTAATACATTGCTTTCTATGCAGACTAACAATATTTTGCAATCCAACTGAGCAAAATAAAAGAGTGCAGTGTTGGGATGAACTTTTACACAATAAATATACAAAAGTGTTATAAGAGGTGAAAGGTTTTTGGAATTACTACTCTCCATCATTTGGTATCATCATCCTAATTGGATAATCTAAAAGGATTAGCCCCTTGTTTCTTGTTGAAACTGTTTAATGATACAAATTCAAAAACCATGCTAGAAGGTACAAAAAATATTGTTTAGCAGTGTCACATATTTCATGAGAGAAGTAGCAATTGTATCATTGGTAAAGATAAAATAGACCTAGAAAGCTGTGGGTATGTGCTGCATCCTGAGTGCAAAGATCACACGTAATCATTAATACCTGTTACTGTAATCACTCCTGTGTCCAACCATCCTTGTTAGCTAAAGTGCCCTAAAACAACTGATTGTCTGGGTATGTCCTTGCATTTATTATTTATTTAATCTATTCCACCACTTTAATTATACCAGATGACCCTAACATATTTTGTTTTCACATAAAACAACTATATAATATAAAAACCTCTGACTTGTCACTAATGAAATGGTAATAAATAATAAGGTTGCTCGAAAAAATTATCCTTGCAAACTCATTACATGTAAGCACTTATAACTTGTAACAGAGCAATGTTTATTTTGTTCACCAAAATCTACAAAGAAACAAGTGTTCAAATATGATATACAGAAAGTAATACAATAAATTCAACAAATTTTATTTGTAAATTATTCCACTTAAGAGAATTTAATATAAGCTAAATGTCTTGAAATTTAGTGTAGGGAAATCAAACATAGCAATTTGGGTGTAAATGCATTGCAATTTGGCATTAAGTTTCCATTTTCACTATTGACTGTTTAAGAAACTTTAACATCAAGCAATCAGTTTTGTACATAAAAAATAATTTAATAGGATCAAATTTGGATATTGAAGCAATTGACAAAAATTAATTTATAAGAGAACCTTTTTATGAGCGGAAGCTTTAAAAACAACTTTGTAAGATATTTTTCAGCAAAATCAGTCTTCAAACGCAGTCAATGCGCATCTTACTTGTTTACAATCTTGTCCGTTCTACAAAAAACTTATTACAAAACTGTTTTTGCTTTTAATAATCATAGCATGTAATTGTTTACATTATAAACTTTCAAGGTAAATTCAATATTCACAGTTCATCATTACAGTTTGAAACAAATATATACAAAAAACAAATATCAATAACTTTTTTTCGAATTTACATAATACAAATGTAAATTTACTGCTTTCTTTAAATTGCAAGTAAAATACTTCACAAAGATTATATTATAATTAACAATTGGAATTGTTATGAATAATACATTAAATAATAACAAATCTGGAAGACTTTGAAATTTTTAATAGTTCCGTTGAGCAACAAGGTAGAGTCAAATGAAAACATGAGAAATAAAAATTCTTAGAAAATGTATAATATACAATATTCAAGAACAGTTTAAAGCTTTCACAAAGGCACATGTAGTGAGTGGCATGATCTTCATGAGCGCTTTTGCTTATGTTTTGTTTTCTTTGAGCTTTGTTCTGTTTTCTTTCTTCTGAAGAAACAACAAATTAATAATATTGATGTTGTTACAGTAAGCAAAGGAACTATACTTAACACAGCTATTACATCAAGTAAAAGATATTGAGCCAGAGGCATTTTGGCAGCATATGACTGCAGATGAGGTGCTCCTTTATGCCGCAATACATAGTCTGTCCAATACAAAACAGTTTCTAATGGCTTTTGAGGACGATCATGGAATTCTTGAGAGACACGTTTTGCTTGCTCTAGATATCTGAAAAAACAAAAACAAAAAAAAGACATTCAATAAATATCAGATTTACCTACAAATATTTGCACAAATTGAGCAATGGTAGGCAAATGCATTATGGTTAATTTTTATTATTAAAATTCTGACCTAACTAACTCTAATTTTCGTCATTCAACATATTTTTTGAAATATGTAGACTTAATGTAGCAATTAAGATTTCTTTAGAATATGCAGCATAACCCTATTAATTTAATTTATTTTATTTTGTGTAGGTAGTACTAATTAATCCTTTGTATATACAAAGTAGCTCTTTACAATACATGAAACCCTGGAATGTGGCTCTCATTGACTTCATGTGTGCCTACCCCTGCTATCACTTTCAAGTTGTGTGACAAGCTCATTCATTCAAGTTTATTAAAATTCCATTATTTCAAAAATTGAATTAAGTTGGTACTTTATTATTTTACATTTACAGAAGTGGTGTCCAAATATGCACTTTGAGAAACACTGCATCTTCATTTAAAAAGTTTGGCAACAACCATTCTGGAACAAATTACAAGAAACAAATGTTAGATAAAACTAGAACTCACTTGCTAGTCAAAACAGTATTTAATGCATTTGTCACACTCTCGTGTGTGATGTCCCCAAATCCTAATTTAACAGCTATTCCTCTTCTGACTGCCATTGCTACATTCTGGAACTGATCTCCGAAAAGCGGTATGCTTATCATGGGTATTCCGTAATTCACAGCTTCCAAAGTTCCCATTAAGCCTCCATGAGTAATGAACAATTTAACATTTGGATGCGCTGTAAGAAAATAACCCTATTAGAAACAAAATATTAATACTTGGAGAACAAAAAGTTATGCTCTCATGACATTAGCTCAAGAATGAAGTTGAAGAAGGAGAATGCATGCATAAATTAGATTTTGATAACATTTTTAATGCCTATTCCATGTGATGTATAAATAATAAAAAGTATTCCTTTGTAATTCATTGATAAAAAATTAATGGATGTAACATACACATCAATAATTCTTTAAAAAAATTAGAGAGATACTACTAAATTGCTATTTTTTCCAGTTACAAAGGCTGGTTTCATTACAAGAAGAATGTTTCGAAAGAAACCACATATCTTCTGTCATGATTGTTTCCGCATTTAAGTGGGATTCATTACTCCTTTTCAATTTAATTATTTAACTTCATCCTTCACATTTTAGGTAACTCTTTATGTAGCTTTACCTAAAACAGCAGTCTGTGGTACCCATTTTGAAATCATCACATTTACAGGTTTGTTTGGAATACTATCTTCTTCCCATTTCCACAGCACTTTCTGGGGAAGACCTTTGAAAGCTTCTATAAATGCATCCCGTTTCTCTGCAGGTAAGGTTGCTCCCCTTGCAGTAGAGCCAAGACTAAAGTACACTACACCTTCTTTGGCTCCATCAAGAAAAGTCTGCAACTCCTTAGTAAACAAAATTTCAAGTGAAACTCTTTTAATCTTCTTTTTTTTAATCCAATAACTTATTAAGATTGTAGGATTGTAAAAAAAAGCATTTATTCATTATAAAAAGTACAAGCAGAAAAAATTAATCCAAATCAAGTAAGTGTTTTTAAATATTCAAGATCAAATAATTATCTTTATTTATTTAATATATTGTTCATATAATTGTACAGAAATACAATTACATGTTTTTGCTCAATTTATTCAAAATAATTATCATATATAGATCTCATCACATCAAAAGCAGTATTCCCATTATAAAAATAAATTTTAGTTCAAGCTAACAATTTAAAAAATTATTTCAAAAATATTTGTATTTATTATTGCAATGATTGTACTGGAGCTTCTGATATGAACAGTTTCCAATATGTATTGGGTTCCTTAGCTACTACATTTCAAAAAACCAAAAAAAAGGGATTCTAATCTGCAAATTTCTTTTCCTCTGAAATACTTTCTGTATTCACCCTGACTGGAAGGTACATTAAATGTACTTGTAATCAAAGCGCAAGGATTTGAGTCGAAGGAACTTGAGAAACTTCAGAGGGAAGAATAAAATTCCTTTGCAATATTTTCAATATTAAAATAATACTTACTTTACTCATTTTTCCTGGTGGTTCAATATGTATACCTCCAACTTCAATAACATTGGGAGTGTAAGGGCGTACTTGATTCAATGTAAAATGAGTATTTATAAAAAAAGCACTAGTGTTTTTTGCAATTTCTGAAAGTGGAGGAAGATCATCACCAAAATATTTCTTTGCAATTTGATAATTTTGGCCATCCGCAAGCAAAGAGAATGCAACTTGAGAAACAACATAATGAACACTATTCCATAGTCTTTCCCAGAAATTCATTACATCAGAGAAACTAGAAAAATGATTAGCAATATATGAAGGGTTATCAGGTAATCCAAAACGTGGTGTTGCCCATGGCATGAAAGATGATGATGACATTGCTATGGAAATTGCATTAAATCTATGAATGAAACCTAAGAAACAATCAGCATTAAATATTTCATAAAAAACTACATCAAATTTCTGATTTGATTTGATAAGGTCTTGAATGACTTGTGAAGACAAAACATCTTCACAGTTTGCAAGACCCATACTTGCTAACTCATGAACACAGAGTATATTTAACTCTTCAGCAGGCACTATATCAACAGGAATAGCATTAACATATGGTATATTGCTCGTATGAGACACATCGATAATTTTCATGTTTTGGGGGGGATTCTTTAAAGGAAATTGAGTGATGACAGTAACTTCATGTCCTCTGTGTGCAAGGGCTTTCATCACAGGTTCAAACATAATGTAATGACTTTTCCCAATGTGAGGGAAGACACCCAAAATGCGAGCTGCTTGACAAACATTTTCACTGAAGCTCAGAAGAATGACTGCCAGCAGAATTTTCATCTGAAAAAATAAAAAAAAAATAAAAATTAACAATTCAGAAGAACCTTAATTATCCACAAAATGAGGGAGGGGTAGCATGCTTAAATAAAAACCATGGTTAATCAAGACCTTTTATTTAACATATTACATAATGCAAGTACAATGTTGTGTTACAAGTTATCAGGGGTTCAAATATGAAGTAATCAGTTTTTGGTTTTTGTTGTTTGCAATGATTTTCCTTACTTCATTTCCAATTTTTCTCAAATTCATGATGCTGTGGAAATTAAAATTTTCCTGTTCACGAAGTTCAGGAGGATAGCAACTGCTTCCATTGCTTGACTTATCTGAATTTTTTTCTTAATTGCCAAATGTGTCTTCATTGTAACTTTCAAAATCCTTGGAATCATCAATTTGCAAGGTAGATGGAGTACTAGCTGTGCTGCCCTAATGAGCTGCTACCCTCTAATAAGCTAGCTGTACTAATGAGCTGTGACATGTCATTCTCACTAAGATGTTTGAATCCCTCTTTAAGAACATAGTTTTGTAGCCAATAAACAATATCATTTTTGAAAATGTTAATGAAATCTGAAATTGACATGGTTTGCTTTAACACATGCTTCTGTCTATAACAGCACAGGCTTCTCCCTCTTCTACATTTTCTATCATTATAGCCTTCATTTAAGATTTTTGCCCAGAAAACTCTCAATATAGCTGCAGGTTTGTTTTGCTAAGAACCACGTTCTGCAAAAATGGCTTCCTTTATGGCCATCATGGACAGGTCAGGCTTTTATGGTCAGTTCTTTCATTGAATCTGAACACTTTTCTTGTAAAAGAAAAATCTATTTACAGTCCTGTCCAAATTATTAGACTAGAACATTGCTTTAGTTTTTTCTACAAATGTCTTACAAATATTGCTTTGTACTCATCTAATGCATTTAGTACTTGCACCAGACATTCACTTTAACAAGCAAGACAAGGAAAGTTATGATGTTGAAAATTGTTATTACTTCCCTTACAGCTTGTTTGCTTAGTGTTAAACTAGAACTCTTTTAAAGTAACCATTAGTTTTAGTACTCTGAGTAGTTTAAGTTGAAGAGATCTGAAGTATAGTGTTAAATATTATTCAAACCATTCATTTTGAGTCGTGTTAAATGTCTTTTAAAATATCTTAATTTGGATGACGAAATCAAGACTGTGTGTATGACTATAAGGCTTAAAAAGCTCATTGAGAACAAGGGAATGCTTACTAAGTATTAAAAAAAATCGATGTGTTATTTATTTTTTTTTTTTTTGTTGTTGTTGGTAAAAAACAAACAAAACAAAATTGCAATTGAAATGCTCAGCCTAATAATTTGGATAGGGCTATAAACCTTTGTTTCAAACAGGAAATTGTGCCTAGATCCGTGGGCTGTTATGTTACGTGGTAGATTATAATACAAAATTTGGCCATCATTTATTTTCAGGGTAGATTTTGAGGAGTGTGAAGGGGCTTTGAGAAGCAGGAGGAAAGCTCTTTGAGGTATCAAATCAAGTCTCCACACACTCCCTGTAAATCACTAAATATTTCTTGAGTTTTTAAATTTTCTTGAAACCATTTTATGTTTACACAAATCATTGGACCAGAAATAGGAATTCCTTCAGTACGCTTCTGTTTAAACCACACAAAAAGAACATTTCAATTTCAGATAATAATGGCGTTTTCATAGTTTTCTTGCATTTGGTAGCAGAAGATATGAACTTGAAATCTTAGTTGTTTTTAGTTGCGCACAATCTGTTCGCCCGNNNNCCCGCACGCACGCACGCACGCACGCACGCACACCGACCTCCTCCCCAGGATTTTTTTCTTTTTCTTCTTCTTCACACTTTCCCTACGATCTATCGCATGAGTTATTAACACTTTTTTTCCCAGACAAAGAACGACAAGTTTACGTTTAGCATTTGTTTTTGACTGCTCGGAACGATTATATCCAAAGAAGGACACAAACTATCTGAGAAGTGTGAAATGAGCTGTTTGAAAACGAAAAGAGACATTGTAGGGGATTTCCTAGCACAGTAACAGGCGACTAGACAGTCTTCACACTGGACCATTCGGGGGTCCTACCGCTCGATTGATTAATTAGTGATTACAGGCGCGTCAACTTCTAAGGCCATTAGTCCCGTAGTACTCGTACATGCTTTTCTCACAGGAGGTGGCGGCTATTTTCCACCGCTGGATGGTGAGATCCGGCGCCGATCTACGTCAGCTTGCAGAAATTTCCCCCAAATAGGTAGTAAAAAGCTTTCGACAAGTGTGGTAATATAATGAATGCGACATAGCTGTCTAGCCAGTGTCGAAAATCCACCGTAGGAATTTGAACCCTTGAACCTCCCGGTCAGAGCCACTGCAGTGACACCAATTAATGCCCTGAGCCAACCTTTACTGGTAAGGCCACACCGAGAAGCGCCGTACCTCTTCAAATAGATACCGAGAGCCACTGACGTTTTTGGAAAAGAAAACTACTTGTACTACTAACTTTGCTTCATCACGTAGAAGGGCAACCTAATGTTATGACAACGGACAATGACAGCAATGGAACGATAGCTACCGGCCGGCGGGCCCATGACGAGTAGTCTGAAAGGTCCACAGGCAACGAGTACACAGCCTTACACAGCCGGTTAGGCAGCCAGTCGCATTAGACGGATAGACAGACAGAACAGACGCGTAGACAACCAGACAACGGACGAGTAGAGACTGACACAACTGACGGGTAGTCTACGAGACTGGCAACTGAGCGATAGGGAGGCAGGCTGAGCAAAGGACCATCTGGGTGACGCACGGTGGGCTAGAATCCCAAAAAGTTAGCCATAATATAAAGAGTTGTTCAATTTGTACCAAAGTGAGGATGTAAAAGTTGGTAATTAAGAATATGATATCAAAAAGTTGAAAAACAAATTGCGGGAAAATATTTTTAAAATTTATTCATATAATGTATCAGTAAGTTTTTCGATAAGTATCGAGGTTAGTGATGAAGATTATGAGTTCAAAATTTAAGAAATCAAAATGGTGCGGACAACAAAGGATAAAAGTATATTTATATAAAGTCAATATTTAGGGGTTGTTGTAAATGTTTAAAAATAGGAAAGCTCGAAGAAAAAAAGGACCAAATAGAGGATATTAGATGGTGTAAAATATTACCCAAAAAATTATTTAAATTACAATTATTCATTTAGTAAATTGTAACTATAATTAGAAGTTGTAGTTTTCTTCTTGTGTTTCATCTTCATCATCATCTTTTTCTTCTGCTTCTTCAACTGAATCGTAGTCATCATCAAAGACTTGTTTCCTCATCTGTATCGGAATCTTCATAATCTTTCGCCACAGGAACTAAGAGGACAACGGCTTCTGGCGACATACTCTTCAGTTTCTTTTAGTGATGATTTGCGCAGAGAAGTAATGTAAGGTGCCTATGGTTGCCAACAATCTCCGTAGTCTTAACTCTGGAAAACGTTTGAGAAAAACTCAGGCAATATTGCTTTATTGGTCGATTTTTGAGCATCTTCCTACAGTCGACCGATGGGCAAAAACGACTCAAGAAATAATGTCTGGTCCGTGGTTCAACAATCTATGGACTGCTGTTGGCATGTTGTGCTACTCGTAGGAGTACTCTTTGACGTAGTGTTTGACAGTTGCTATGGCGTAAAATATAACCAAAATATTCAATTTAATATATGAAACCGGAATGCAATCATTTCTTGAAGGCAATATTAATGGCGGCACGGCGACTTCTAACTTTTTCTAAGATATTCATCCCACTGTGAAGGAGAAAGCGTTGTTTCCATTTTTCTACTTATTCTATTCTTTACAATACTTCTAGGCATCGATTTTATTTTAATTTGTTCAAATGTAACACATTTATTTTTTTGTCATTTTTTCAATATGTCTCAATAACGACATTTTGCAAGTGTGGCTGAAGATGTGGCTCAAAGCTGAAGTCGGTACTACTCGGTGGATTTGAAGGTTAATTTACAAAGGTAATAATATATACTTGCGCACACAGTGCAAAAGAAAGCGGAATGGAAAAAAAGAAAGTGGAATTCGTAACATATCTCTTTTTTCAGAAAATTTTACAATACACTCGTGCATTTTTCGATATTACTTTAATTTGTTTAAAATTATTAATGATTTAATAATGATATACAATTTTAATTAGTACATACTTCCTGGAACACCTTGATCTGAAACCTCGATCAGGTTTTTGTCCAGTTTCCTTGATCCATTGAGCAAATGCTGAGATGGCCCTCATGTTTTGCTTCTGGACGTAAATGTAGCTTTACTGTGCGCACGTCTTGTTGAACTCTCCTTTTGTTTGTAATGGTAGGAGAAGAGGTAAGTGCGAGTTACTATTTTGCTAGCAATGCAGAAAAAGCATACTTGCAATTCGTTTACTGATGCAAATAAGTTTTCTAGAACTCGGAAACGAAAATGTCTATTTGTTTTAAATATTGCTAATCTCGCGTTTTTTTAAATTTATTGGTATTTATTTATTTTAACCTTTTACTCATCTTTCAACCATTTTTAGTTAAAATGACGGGAAAGGATTCTGGAACTCAAGAAAACGTGCGCAGATAATCTTCTCTCCCACACGTCACATAGTTTTTACTTTTTTTTTTTTTTTACTAAATAAATCTAAATCTAAATATGACAAATGAACAGTTGATCGTCCGCACAACTGGCATTCAGTAGTCCCAACATTACTGCCGACCTGATAGTCCAAAATTCCCATCTAGAAACTTGTACTCTTTTTTTTTCTGGCCACGTTTTCACGGTTCTAGCTCACCGTGCGACGAACAGGCGGACTAAAGGACGAGGGGACTGACTGACGGACTGTAACTACAATATATTATTACACACTTGTTCATCTCGTATAGGCTACAATGGAGTGTGTTGGCTCACTGCAAGTCGCTGTAGACATAACTGTAGTACATCTCCAATCGTTGGCAAAGTTTATGAGTTGCGCACGAACAAAACACGAATGAGAATTCTTCCGGCTGCTCTGATTGAATACACGACTGCAAACTTCGGTACTTTCATACCGACCGAAATAATGAGATCCTAAGCGAATGGCTTCTAAAAAGGATGTGCTATTGGATGAATAATTCATTTTTTTAAAAAGAGGATTCAATGGAATAAGTAATAAAAGGGGTTTGTAGAAACATGCAACCAATCCAGACACCACCCCTCAGTTATTTACTGGTTATCACTGAAACAAGAAATAATGGGCTTATTGATTGAATAAATTGATTAAATTATTAAAAATGGGACTATATGATATCGTGGGAACAATGCTGTTCTGCGTTCTTGTTAAAAAATTATTTACGTTTTAAAAAACGATTTCAGAGATCTCAAGCGCAGAGCACACCAAACGTTTTCATGTTGTGGTCGAGATCTCAGTGGCAGACGTTAATCTTGGTGGTCCGAACTCGAAGTACCACCCATTCAGAACCGTTACCTAACATTACTTTCAGAATCAATTGTCATGAAACAAAAACTTAACTACTATTAGAGCGATGTAAGAATAGATAGTGCCACGGTACGAATATACGAGTATACGCAGCCTGTGTATAAACACATACATTTATTTTTTGTAATTTATAGAATTATAAAAGAATCTTTTCTGTTGCAAGAAATCGTTCATAATCGGGCATTTTACGGCACAAATAATGACGTATTAGATTTTATGTCACGAATGATTGCATCATCACGCATTCAGCCAATTGTAGCGAGAGAATCGGGGGGAGGTAGAGCTAAACGGAACAGCCGACTAACGTTTACTCGGACGATGTCAAATACCCGAGTCGTCACAGGGAAGTTGTTTCGCATATTTCATTTTGATTCTCTTATAAATGTATAATGCTGTTATACAAAAAAATATAGTGTGCAACTCTTTTAAATTGTTGCTTTATTACATTCGTACAAATTTGAAAACTCGCTCTTAAAGTCGCTCGTTTTTAAAACATGTACTCGTGCAATAAAGCTTAACATTATAAACGAATTGCATAAATTACTACTTCGAGCTATCAGCCTTTAGAACATCGGTATACCACATATCCAAATCGCGACAGATCAGTTAACATCTCATCGTCGCCGCGAACGAGATAAGGGATTTTCTGTAAATCTTATCAGCTCGGAAACCACAGGCATGCTGCTTCGGCCGTGCCCCATTCGGAATCGCCGCAGTCATCTTCCAATTTTGCGTGCGATACGCAAGTACCATGCCAACAGCCAAGGGCAGTTTAGCCCACTGGAAGAAAAGTTATGTTGTAAGTGCCCCACCAACAAAGCAAGAAGCAGAAGAGCAACCCGAATGTGCAAATCGAAACCAAACAATGTGGTATTTTAAAGGCCGGACATGCTGAAACGCTGAATTTGTTAAACGTACAAACGTGTAAAAATGTGTTTATATACGAGTCTAACAATAGATACTATTTAAAAAAATATTTTGTAGTAATATCACTATCCCTCCATAAGTGTGAAAAGAATACGTTGTAAACTATTTGGACCTTAAGTTTCCCGATGTAAATTAAGATAAACATAATCATGAAACAAGATTGACCATTTTTACAGTTACAAAAGTAAGCCGTGCGGATGGCATTTTTAAATACCAATTTCAAGAGAGATTTGTATGTTCGGAAAATTTCGAAAATAATTCTCTTACTCCCTACCGGTGTAACTAAAAACTGACACTGATCTTTTAACTGGCATCTAAATTGATTTAACTGCAAAATTGGTTGAAATTGGAGCCAATTCATAAGCCAACTCAAAAACTTTTAAAGGGCTTGGGGAAGCATCGACCTAATTTCGCCCCAAACACCCAGACGGCAGTTTGGTCACTGTAAAAAATCTCAGTTTTTTTTATTTTATGCTTCGAGCACTGTAACGCATAGCTCAGTGGGTTCCAATCATGGTAGAGAATTCACGTTCCCTTAAGAGCGTAGGCTTCCGCGGCCGGAGTCAGTATTTACTAGGCTGTCCGGGTGACGCCGCGTCCATGGCAGGCACCTTCGCCATGGACGCGGCGTCACCCGGACAGCCTAATAAATCACGATCCCTTACTTACACCAACGCAACTGAATACAATAAAGAACACGATGCATCTTCATAGCCTAACGCTCAAAGAACCAACTCATTATTGAATGATCCTAATAAAAACCTGGATATATTGGAAACAATAGCCACCAAAATCGAAGACTTCGTTTTTTCTACGGTACCAATGAATTAAACCTCTCTAACTGCTTCCCTCTCCCATTGAGCACTTTCAGTATTAACTAGAATCATTTTTAAAGATCTTCTGAAAAACAATAAATGATACTCAAAATAAAACTATTAGACATAAGAAATTAACTAAAAAGAACCACCTCTCAATATAACTGAAGTAATCCTGCAATTACCAAGGAGGGGCGGTGTTTAGAGATCCATGGATGATTATTTTGTATAGCCTGCAAGTTTTAAGGGAGCTGAAAATCATTGAAATTGGGTAAGATGAGTTTTTGTTCAATATTACATGATGCAATTTGTCACAAGTATTGTTATAATTATTGAATTATTATATAGGTTTTGCTGTAGGCAAAAAATTTGGACAATTCGCTCGGACACTGAATATATTTTGATTAGTCAGAATATATTTTTGAATTATCTATAATGTTTTAAGTCTTAGTATAAAATTGTTTAATATTTATGCTATTTTATGAAGTTACATTGGTCTTTATTTTATATTAAAATGTAATAGATTAAGACATTATAAAACTATTAATGAGAGACAGTTTATTTTTTTTATTGGCAGAACCTGGAATTGAATATTTTTTGTTTAAATAAATATATCAGCATATTAGTTGATATCTCAATTTATTTCTTTAGAAAAATCGGTAAAAGCATCAATAAAATCAAAATTTAAGGCCAGGCCAGGCCCACCCCCGATGGTGGTGAACGGGACCACTGGTTAATAAAAGTCACAATCAAAGCCAGTAAGCTTTGGATCACACAGAATCTAAGAAATAAAAAATAATAATCATCTCATATCTGTAGAAAATTCAGGAAATACAATATAGAAAAAACTCAACTTACTGAGGGACTACATACTCACCAAAAGCAGTTCTCTTTAGCAATTCAAAAAGGAAAAAAACAAACAAAAAACAACAACAAAAACAAAGAAACAACAAAACAATATCCCTATGTTATCAACAGGTAATGAGAAAACATTATCCTATGGAGAAATCCGAATTACTAGCAGCCTGTACAACTTAGTCATTGGGGCCGACTGCATGCTAAGTACAAAACTACACACGCGATGAAAATTTAAAGTTTTCTGAAGCCCGTAACATAACATCCCACATTGAATGAATTTAATTCATTTCTTCCCATGAAATCAAACAGTCAAAGAAATCAAATATAAAAGCGTCAGGTCACTGAATTAATACAACAAACCTCAAAACATTGTCCAACAATGTTATTGAGTTCTTAAACAATATATGCTTCATTCTAAAAACAGGTAACTATACCCGGTTATGGAAAGGTTCAAAGGGACATACACTACAGCGGAGTTTCTGGATGTGTTACAAGAATTTGACGGAATATGGTCCGCCTTCTCTTCAAATGGTGCAAATTATTACGCAAAACTACTTCATAATTAAGAAACTTCATTTCCAATAAACTTTGTCAGTGTCAATAGATTACTATTATTCTAAAAATGAAAACAGAAACGGTGAGAATCTAATTTGACACAAATTTGTGCCGGGGCGGCGTTCCTCAACGCTGTTTAACTCTCCGCAGTGGCGTTTTGCTGGTGAGAGTGCTTGAACAGAAATTATGTTGGTAATACAAGTTGCAGCTTAATAACTTAAATTGCTAGCTGGCCCTAATTATAATAGATGTTGAGTGTTGTCTTCACTTGTTTCCCAGCGAGCTGGTTGCTACCAACATAAATGCCATTTCTCATGGGAGGTCCTGATTTGGCTCGGTGCGGAGAGTCTTTCCTGGCGCACGTCTACGCTTCAGATCTCATTTCCCACCCAATAAATACCACCCAATTCGCTGACGATAATGCGATGAATATTTCCGGCACTTTATTAATTATTCAGCACTTTCAGCTTCGACACCATCTGTTCCTAAAATAAAATTGGGCAAATATTTAGGATATTAATTACTTCAAACTCAACTATCTTGCCAGCAAAAGTTCAATTCCAAATTCGTTTTCTTGCACTCTCTTCTTGGTTTCGTAGTACCGTAATTAAGCTTTTGGGGAGTGGGTAGAATTATTCGATTTATCAAAATAAAGGCACCTTACTGTATATTCAAAATAAAACATCGTGTTTCTATTTTATTGAACAAATAAGCTTTTTAAAACATTCATATTGAAGTGAATTGAATTTAGCCTCCAAGATCGTACAGTCAGCAGAAGCTCGGACTAAGTTGGTGTGCACCGTGTTTCTCGGTGATTACGCAGGGTTACAAAAAGGAGAAACAAAAAGTGCAACTCCCTCCATAACAAAGCTGTGGCCGAACCGTCTCCCTTTTCCCACTAGCTACGCCACGCGGACTCAGCGGGAGGTGGCTCTGTCTCACACACACGCACGCACCCACGCACGCACACGCGCACACGCGCGCACACCCACACACACGTCTCCATCCGGGGAGGAGGAGGGGTGGGGCAATGCGTCTCCCCCAATATATTTTGGTATCTGGCATACATTGATGGTGACTCCCCGCTGACCTGTACGTTATCTACTGAAACGTCCCCCTTCGCAAATAATTCGGACATGATGACATACGTACCTTGACAGGAGAACGAAACGGCTGCATCGCACTTCAAGGTTCACAGAGTTCTCACTTCAAACGCGTCTGATTTTCCAACTTCGTGCCACGAGTAATCGCAATGTTTCACGTTCACTCAAGACACCCGGCCATCCGATTTATCCCCCTATGAATCTTTTGTTTAAATCTCTAGCTCATCTCTAAACAAGAGCAACCCGCACCACGCTCCTCGACAAGAGATGTGAACTCGCGAGATCGACAATTACACCGGTCGTCCACCTCGCGTTGCACGTCTGCGGCAGTCAAGGAAGAACAAACGAGCGACAGAAACGCCGCGGGCGCACGCGCAGGAAGTATTCTCACGTCTTTCGGCGGCGACGTCGGAGTCGGACTGCGGTGCGACGTGAGGCGAGATAAAGGACCCGTTGCGACGGTGGGCTGGGCAGACGGCTCGGAGAGCAACCGGCGTCCGTCGCGTGCAAGGCGCGCGCCTACAGGCGTGAGACGGCACTACTCGCCGAAGGTCACGGTCGCGGCCTCAGGTGCACAAGTAGCGTGAAGAGAGGAAAGTCCCGAATCAGCGAGGCTGTTGTGATGCAACAGCGCAGAATGCGTGTCTCTGAAACTAGAAACTTCCGCTCCTCACTTTTAACTAGTACTGCACGGGTTCTGAGCGCTCGAAAGGCACAGCTTTCGAAACGAAAAGTCCCTCCACTGGATGGTATATGTTTCTATTCCATGACGTACAGTAGAAAAAAACAACAACAAAACGAAAAGTCTTGTAATTAATGTGCTCATTATATTGTATTAAGTCTTGTAAAATCCGGGTCGTGGATTCAAACTCGCTCTAGGAATGGATGTTTTTCCTTCATGTGAGGTAGAAGAGAACCTCGAGATCTGTTGACTGCAGATCCGAGAAACCCGCACGTGTGTATAAAAACCTCTTTACCTTATTGTAACATGCACGACTCTGATTCGGATGTCACGTCATCTTTTCACTGGTGCATTTTAATTAACATCTAACTTGTAAATGAGTGTTTATCACGACATGTAGGTGATAGAAATGTATAGTTATTGAGTCATATTTTGTCATTTTTTGCCATTTTTCAATTTATAGGTTATTTTTTACCTTTGCGTCATTTGTGCCATTTATACGCATTTTGTTTCCTTTTCGTGTTTTTCGTTGACAGACTAAAACAAAGTTTTTATTGTATCGTCAGTTCATGACGAAATTCATTACTGCAGTGGACTCGATTTTTCCAACTCAACAAAATTATATGGATATTCAGTAACTTCTCCGACCTTTCAAAACTGACAGTTGGAAGACCGCAATTAAAGATTATATTTCCTCCAAAAATAAAAACCGTATATTAAATATAATTTTATATAAATAATTTTTTATTGTAAAATTCATTAAACAACATTTTCATATCAATTTTTAGTATTTTTAAAAAAAAGTCCATTTCCCCACTATTTTTAAGTCTTTTATCGTTCATTTTCCTGTTATTTTCAAGTTGTTTTATTGGTCATTTTCAATTTTTTTTAGGTCATCACAATCCAAGCCCTGGTAATACGTATAACTAGCTGGACCCAAGCGAATAGGAACCAGGTAATTAGTAGCTTGAACTCATGTTTCTCGCTGAATAAGTGTTCTTTCTTTCGTTCTTTCTCCGAAGTCTCATTCTTCATCTGGGTGCCCAGAAGAAGAGGGGCATGCGGAGAACCTTGCCCCAGGCCCCAATTTTATTAGGACCCCGATATTGTTTTTCGTTCAAAACAAATAAAGTGTTTACTTCTAATTCAAATTAACTGCAATACGTCATTTCTGATGTAGGACGAAATGAAGTCTATTTATGAGAGGATGGGGTAAAACTTTGTTTGAAATTTGGGGTCCCTGTTAATCAAGCCTCTTGCTTTCTCTGGGCGCACCTGAGAGTTATGACAAGCGATCCGCGTATTCGTAGTCCCTCTGGATTTTTTTTATCATAAGGGATGGACCGCCAAGGAAAGGGAGAAAAGATTAACGACCGATCCTAAAGGGATCCATACACTTCAACATTTACGACAGCTTTAGTAATTTTACCTGACCGAGCAAACACGAGCGTACGTGGATACAACAACGAAGATTAAACCGTCGCGTACGCAAGCCTTGGGATCCTAATTTCCTCATGATATTCTTTATTGTGACGGTGCCACAACTTTACGGCCTCACCTGGAACGGGTGAATTGTTTGATGAATACGGGATTGCTTGCAAAAATCCTGCTGAACAAAACCATACAAACTGGTGTTTCAAGAAGTAGCATGCACTAGTAGCTCAAAAATAAATAAAATCAATTACGAACGAAAAACAAATTTTGGATTTTCCTGAGCTGTTTCCCAGGGATTTTTCCCGAGCGTTTTCTTTCAATTTCTGTGTGTATTGGAAATTAATAATAAACACGACGAAACGATGTGCGCGAACCACAGAAGTATGTATGCACGGAACCTAATTCTTCCACAAATTCGACCTGAAATTGAACCCCGGCCCCAGTGGTGGAAAGCAAGTGGTCTGGCCACTACATCACGTCACATTTCTTCAAGGTACGGCTTCCTAGTCGCCCGTTTCGATGAAGACCAGTGCGCGAAATACCGATTTGTATACAGTCAACACGGCAGATACTGACACAAGCTCTCGCCTCGACAGAGCTACAAGTGGACGGGAGCAGGAGAGGTGCTGTCAGACGGCTGCCGTGGTGCAAACAGGAGATGAGTACTCGGAAGAAGGAATGTTTTCATAACATCTACGCTATTATTTCTTAATAGTTAACAGTTCAAAAACGTTACGAGTAATACCACTCCTTCCGTATATCATGGTACTGTCTACTATCGGTTAAAATGCTCTCTCCTGCAACTTTTTGTATAAAATCTGAACTACAAGCAGTAGCCGTGGTTTTTACGATAAACAGGTTCAATGTAGCGCATTGTTTTGTCTCATTGGTGTTGAGTATTGCCGCAAACCCTAGTGTTTTAATAGCTAGGGATTAATTCAGTGTATAGGAATACAGCGCATACGAATGACGGTAATGATCAGAGAACTTGTAAAACTATATTCAAGGTGTGTTTGAAAGTAAGTTGACTTATTTTTTTTCCTGCTAATCCTCAAGTCTGCAATGTTGCGACTGGTGGGTGTGGTGGTCTTGGAGGATATCGTACCACTCACCAAATTGCCTGCTGGCCGTTGCACAGTGCGGATTGCTCGTAGTGTGTACACACTTTCTAGTAATACGTTGGGAGATCAAAATACCAAGATTTACCGAACAGCGACATTCCATTAAATTTTAGGGAAATGACGCTCCGAGACTATCACAATGCTTAAACAAGCTTATGGGAATGATGTGATAACTCAAAACATTGATTTCCCGGCACAAGATAATCCGGGAGGGGTGAAAGGACGTCGACGATCAGCAACGGCCTGGACGCCCACCAGTCAATACCTATAATTATGTGGTAATAATAATAATAATAATAATAAGAAGAAGAAGAAGAAGAAGAAGAAGAAAACAAATGCAGAATCCGTAATACTTTTTATATCTACCATTTTGTAAGATGAGCTTGATTGAACTTCACTTATTGCCCTTACAAAAAGGCCCAGAGCCCCAGGAAATTTCAGCAAAACATCGCTAATCACATACTTTATTACCTTTATGGGATCAAATATTGCATGTGTACTATCCATTAAATCTATTAATCTACTAAAATTCATTTTTGTTGTATGTTTTAACAACGGTATGCAGCTGTGTAAATATGAACGCTGTTCATGAATAAAAATAAACCAAATCCTTAGAATGCTCCACGTATGTTTCGCATATCGTCTGTGTGAAGTAATGAGAGTCACATATAATAAATTATAGTCTCTTGCAGATTCTTTAATAGCATGACTCGGGCTAAACGAGTTTTGCCGCTAGTTGCAGTTCATTCTTTAAAATATTGAGTTCATTATTTCTGGGCGCGCAGTTTGAACTGTTGCTTTCGCAAGTTATATTTTGTGTAGCCGCTTACCGACAATTGCGTTGGTGAATCTTTGCAGCACACATCTGGGAACATAGACAATCAATCCTGCTGTTGCACACCGGTTTGAATTGCGCGCCCGAAAGTAACCTTAAAACTCTTATTTTCTCAAAGACATTTTTTTTTCAAAACAAAAATAAATTTGTTTTTGTTGTTGTTGTTGTTGTTGTTGTTGTAGTTGTAGTAACGGGAGACTCTGGACATCCTTATATACATCATGTAACATTCCTATTCATACACGCTGATTTTCCACGATAATATTGTAATATTTTCTTCACATTACAGTTAATGTTAAAAGTGACCAGTGTACAATGAAATAACTTCCTACAATCAGAACAGAGATATTAAATTGTAATAAACGTATGTATTCACTGCAAATGAAAAAAAAAATCATTTTCATACAACATTGTTATTCGTATACTAAAAGTAATTTGTCAAAATAATACCATCAATAAAAAAAGTTCTAATACTTTGTTGGACATGGCGTTAAATCAATTATCTACACATCGTTTGTCCATGGAATGAACGGCTCCAAATTTTTCATTAAAACATTTGGTATGGATAGTGCTAAATGCACTGAATTTACGTCATATACGTCATTTTTATGTATTGTTTTGCTTTTTAAAAAAATATACAAATAAAAATTAGTCTCTCGCTCTTCGTCTCTCTCTCTTTCTCACAGAAACACACACAGACGTCGTTAATACGTACGACCTTTTAGTATATTATTGCATTTGTAATAACTTTAAATAACGTCTGATGAAGTTTCTCGAAAACCCTTTGAAAATCATTTCAAAACTGCCTATTTTCAGAAATAGTTACATATTTTCTCACGAACGGACCTACATATTTCAAAGAAGATTTTCACATAGAAGCAGGCCTTACTTTTCAAAAGTATTCTTGTAAAGTCTTATTTCAATACTATTAGAGAACCGAAAACAGTGAAACAATATATTTTAAGTATGGATAGGTAGCAGCTGGGAAGCGGGTGGGGCTATACCAAGCAGCACCTGGACATCTAGTATGTCCGACTATTTTGTTCGGTAACAGTATCAAGTGTACGCGTTTATCAGCACTGCTGATAAAAGAGCGGCTGGTTCACGCAACAACATACGGCCAAGATCCTCAACTTTTGTAGACTGTTAGGAGGTTGTTATTGGAGAAGCAAGAGAAAGTGCAGTAGCAAGGGGAAGAGGAAGAGGTGGAGGAGATGAGGAGGGAGACAAGGATGAAAAGGGGAGGGGAAGGAGGAGGAGGGAGAGGAGGAGGAG